CTTAGGCAGTACTTCCCTGGACGAACTCTTTCACAAGCTCTACTGCTACTAAACTCTCGATATCTTAAAAATGCTGATTCAGATGCCGAGTATAATCGAGAAGAATACGGTACTGCTCGTGCTTAAGCACATGCTCTAAATATGGAATGTTTCTGCTCTTGTTGATTCCGTCTGATTCACAGTATAAGCAGCTAGCACAACCACTCCGGGACGGAGTACAGGGTTATACCGAGGTCTTAGGTTTTCGCGATTGTTACACATAGGAAATGAAACTATTTTTCCGGAATTAAATCGCGTATATTTGTTTTTTCAAACAAACCAACGTTTCGGCCCTATACAACAGTGACCATGACCTGTACAGGGCCCGAAACGTTAGTTTGTTTGAAAAAACAAATATACGCGATTAAATCCGAAAAAATAGTTTAATTTCCTATGCCTAACAGGGTTGTTGTTGATGCAGATGTTTTACACATCTACGGTTGCTGATTTTTGACCTTAACAACGGATGCGGATGCTGTGATATTAAGTATATTAAAAAAATCGCGAAAAATGTACATGCTTACTGAGTCTATCTGAAATGTGGTGCTGGGGCAGAATGTTAAGGGTACCGTGGACAGCCCGCCGCACCAATGTCACTGTACTTGAGGAACTCAAGATAAAGAATGCACAGCGTCTGTCTTCAACTTGCATACAGCGTGTGATACGCTATTTTGGTCACGTGACACGTAGAGATGCTGATAACTTCGAACGTTTGATGGTGACAGGGAAGGTGGAGGGATAGAGACCTAGGGGCAGTAGTCTAAAAAGGTTTGCAAGTTATTTCAGCATGCCTTTTAAATCATGTCATGACTCGAACATCCGCAATTAATATGAGCATCGATGAATGCGGATGCTGATATTCGCAACCCTGGTCCCTAAAGCGTAACGCTTCGTGCGGATCTTTGGAATTTCCACAACATAGGGGTGGAACTCAAGCCTACGCCTAATCCCCCGGTGATGGAAAGTGGACGTCGGAATTAAATCGTGTATGTCGATTTAAACAATGGCAAACGTAAACCTTTAGTCACAGTAAAATAACACTCGGTCGTGACAGTAGTATGGTACGACAATTCGACATGTGCGTAGTTATTTAGTAGCGTGTAGTAATGTTACTGTTAAACTAAACACACAACATTGGCCTCGAACACTCGCAAGGCAGTGATTAACGCCTAGAGTGCTAAATGTTGTAGAGAAGCCCTGGTTAACTAGCACTCTAACGGAATATGTCCAGTGGCATACTAAGAGATAGCAGCGACTGTAGATTCTGCCACGAAGTGGATGAATTTTATAATATCAAGTGACGGGACGAACAAGTCAAGCGCCTGATGGTAAGCTACACGCCTGTCCGTGACAGTTGCAGTGCCAGTCAAGAGTTTTAGATCTGAGGGGAATTGCCTCTACACCCGTCACCCCGAGACATAAGTTGGCAAGATCCACGAGACTGTAATTTCACTTACCCTTCCAAACCGGAACGCATTAATGCTCACATTATTGCTTGGTGGCAGAATTAGGTAAGGTGGCAGTACCTCCCTGAACGCATCCTTTTACAAGGAGCTCTACTGCTACTAAATGTATTTTTTTTAGAAATCCTCTCGTAAGTTATCTGCATGTATCATGTGCTGTCTCACTACATATCAAATGCCTCCTTCAATTCACTCAAGGTCTGCGACGTTGAGCAGTTTCAGCCAGTAATTATACTCGGCTTTGTTACCATCACGCCATCTCTTTCCAAGTCTGACGCGGAGTCGAACCCTATTGGGCACATATTGGCCTCATGGATCTTTCCGCCTGACCTACCCTGCCCAACTGCAACGTTTTTTATTTCGCAAAAAAAGTTCTCAAATGTATGTTTTTAAAAAAAGAATAAGGGTAGTTATGTCAATAAATCATATTATTAATTGGCCTTAGTTAATTGTTTCTGGCCACATGCTGTGAGAAGTTTCTTTACCTGACAGTCTGATGGGGGAAATCATAAAAAGTAGCTAACTAGCAAAATGAAATCAACAAGGAAGGAGATATCAGTTTTAAGGCATAATAAATTTTTGTTCACGGTCTAAAACAGTTTTTTTTTTAATTAATGGGAGAACTTTAAAATTTTGGGGGATTGCAATGAAAATATAGTATAATGCCAAAAGAGATTTTACTAACTTAGCTCCGAAGATTTGTTACTACCAAATTTGGACTAGGTGGTCTAAAATGAAGAAACTTTTTTTTTAATGTCAAATCAGTCATCAGACTAATTTGTTTTAGTGATTTTTGGTGTTTGAGAGGAAGCCCCACAGCTTCAGCCTCTCTAAGTTATTTAAAGAAAATTTGAATTTATATTTCAATTGATATTTAAACACAATAATATTGATGAGGGGTAATCAATGACAGTAACAAAGGGTTGACAGATGATACCCTCAAAACTGTCAACTGCCAATTACCTTTACTTACGTTATTTGATACAGAAAAACGTAACCCGTATCCTCTCCAATTGGAGAGGATGTGGGTTGGGTTATATTTGTTATATCTAATGGAGAAATGAACATGTTTGATGTAATCCCACTTATGCCATTCTTCCAGACTTATAAATACACACACACACACACACACACACACACACACACACACACACACACACA